GCGGAGGCAAGTGTGGCCTCTTCCTCGTTTCGCCGCCGGGACACCGCGCAGGCCGCCGGCACCATGAAGATCTGGACCTCGGAACACGTCTTTGAGTAAGTTTGGGGCGTGGGGCGGTGCGGCGGAGGGGCACCGGGAAACTGCGGGGTGGGGGGGCAGGCCGGGCCTGGAGTTGCAGCGAGGTCGAGGCGTCCCTCAGGAGGCTTCCAGGTGTCGGGCCTAGTGGGAGGAGCCGGGCCTGACCCCGGGGGGATCTGTGGGGGGCGCCCGAGCCGCCCTGCGCCCCAGGAAAGGGTCCCCAGCGGAGAAGGCTGCGACTTCCAGGCCCAGTCACAGCTCGGGAGGGCTGGGGTGGGAGAGCAGAGCCGGGACACCTGCTGCCTGCCCCCCGGGGTGGTGGGAGCGTCGCTGAGCTCGAGGTGCTTGACAGCGCTAGGCGTGGAGGGGCCCCGAGCATACACATCCGGCCTTCCGAAACCCGTGGGACAGGGACCCGAAGATCCCAAGAGGAAGGCGTGGGCCTTCTCGAGAGTCTCATCGCCCCACTACCGTTTGGGTGGAGTTCCTTAACTCGGAATGTGAATTTGATGAGCTCAGGCCACCAGGAGACGTAACTTTATGGCAGCTCCTTGACGTGAGAAACAGCCTTGGAATTAGAGTCCAAGGTTCACTAAGACGCCAGCAAGCCGTGTGACCTTGGGTTACCCATTTTCATTGGAGACATGGAAGGTTATGATATCATCAGGGCTGCCAGTGTAAGGTGTTTTTGAGGCCACCTTCAGTAGTATCTCTCGGTTATCGAGAAATTTTTGGTAACAAAGAGGCCTTAAACCAGTTGGATGTTGGGAATTAAACTCCTTTCTGGTTGCCTGATTCCATACACAGAAGAACCACACATAGAGGTAACTGAATCATTTTTGCCTTAAATAGTTAATCAGTTGTCCTAGCACTGTTTATTGACTAATGCGTCTTTTTCTCAATGATTTGAGATGCCACCTTTGTCCTAAACACTTGCGGTTTGTATACGAACCTATTTCTGAGTTGTCCAGTCTGTTCCGCTGATGTCGCTACTGGAGCCACACTGTTTCAACTTTCATAGCTTTGTAGGATGCTTTAGTTTCACCGTTTGATTTTTTAAACAGTGTTTCCGAGGGCAATTTTAAAAGAAGCTGTAAACTTTTTAAAGACTCAGTGAAGCACACACATCCACGAGTCCACTGGATCCTGGACTATGGAATGTTAGATCCTGGAGTATAGAATGTCAGAATCAGAGGGAAGATGTCTTTTCTTCCTAGTCTATCGTCGTTCTTGGGGAGAAGACCCTAAATTTTGTAGTCTTTCCGATGTTCTTTAACCTGGGCACATACTTCTCTGCTCCATTTCAGCTCCTGAGATCAGGAATGGCTTGTACCTTGCAGTCCTCTCGTGGGTCTGAATGCCTCGGCAGTTCTTGGCACCACGTCTCCTTAGAACTTTCTTCCTGTCTTCCCTAACACTCTGTTCCCTGGCTTGTCCCCTGCCCCCATCGCTTCCGCCCTTGTTTCGTGAGCATTTCTCTCTGTTCTTCCCCTTAAGCATAAGCGTCCAGTGAGGCTGTTGTTGGCCTTCTTGTCTTGCATTTCATCCGTGATTCTTAATCTTTTTTTTCTCGTTCTGTCACAGACCTCCCTGAGATTTGATGAAGGCTCCAGGGCCTTCCCCCCAGGGGATAGACATGTTCACACACATGCTGCACATGTCCTGGGGGAAGCCCTGGTCCTGACTGTCCCCCAGGGAATCGGGGCGTTTCCTTCAAGGCCCTAGCTAACATGTACACATTTATGCCACCCACATCTGCGCCTGGGGCTCCAGCCTCTTGAACTTGCAATCCTGACCGTCAGGTCTTACCAGGTGTCTCTACTCACTTGTCCCACAGGCTCTTCAAACTCAGCACACCTGAAATTGAAGTCATTCTCTCCCCTCACAAATCTTAGACCATTTCCCTACGCACGCATCCTAAGGGTGTCGTGTCTGACGCCAGCCTCTCAGCCATCCCCCTGCGTCCTACCCGTCTTTGCCCTTCCAACACTTCCTGCCAAGGCCTGACACATTGCGGGCATCCAGCTGAAGTCATTCAGTGATTCCTTCCACAAACGTGGACGCCCACTGTGTTCCAGGCACTGTTCTTTGGTTACATTTTGGTAAAGAAACCAAGACGTCGTTGCTGCTTCGGTGGAGTTAACTGTCTCCACCTCGCTTTGTAGGGGAAATCGGACAGTCTGGCAGGCCACCACCAGGTTCGCCAGACTGCCCTTTGGTGCTGTCCTTGAATGTCTTCCAGTGTGATGTCTTGTCACGTAGTTACCTTGAAACCGTTAAAATTAATTGCTGGAAGACTGTTAATCGTAATAGGCAGCCTTTGTAACGTTTGAGCCAGTTACGTTTCGTAAAGCAGTCTTAGTTCAAGCTAAGCGAAGTCAACGTTGGTGTTTTCAGGTCGACTCAGGAGGGAAGGACTAAATTGCAAAGAATGCTAAGCACCTGGAAGCTGTGCAGTTACTAAGTTTTTTAGGCGATGAGGGGAAGAAGAACACAAGGAAGCCAGCTAGCCATGGCGTGCGACTAGATGGAGCAGGGAAAGGGTTCGTCCGGTTTCATTCTAGATAGTCGCCTTGGTAACAATCAGTGCTCGGCCTGTATCACTTCTAGATACACAGATGTGGGGACCTCCCAGGTTTATAAAGTACCTCAACTTCTATACCTGCTCTGATTGCCGAAGAAGACCTGAGATTAAAAACAGAATGAGGTGCATTTATATAATATTATAGCAGAAATGAAAACGTTAAAAGTAATGTTGCTGGTCGTCCACAGTCCTGGGAAGTGAATGGTGTTGAGATTTTCCTTGTTGGCAAGTAGTCATGCTCAGTTCTCTAAAAAGTTAGGTCACCTTTTGTGCTGCATAGTTCAGAAGGGCCCTTTTGAAAAGATGTCTTTTGTATGAGCATCTCATTCACACAAGTCGTGAACTAATGTGCATCCCATTTGAGTCACCCAGGCACGTGTACTTCAGGAAGATGAAGGTCCTGCAAGTCCCATGATACTGTTACCATTTCGATCCTAGAGGATAAGCAAGTGCTTATTGTATTAGGAGAGAATATTAGAAAATAACATACTAGATAGGAGCATCTTAAAAATGTTATCGTATCGAGTGACCTTTTCAGAACAAAGCAGAATCCCTCCTCTGAGGAGGGCAATGGGAAAAGATTGACTGGCGAGGCCGCTTATTACCTTAATGTGAGGAAACACACGTGCGGTATTATGGTCTTTAGCTCAGCGACGCGGTGCGTCTTCGCAGCCCCTGTAAGGTTTTCCAGTGCGCGTAGTTTTTTTGTTACTTCTTTATAGCTTCATGGAATCGGGTCAGACAAAAGAATAAATGGTGTAATAACAATTTTTGCTGCTTGTTTCTGTAGAACAATTTTTAAATAACATTTGTATGAATTTGGTTCTCAGAAACAAAATGTGATGAAAGTGGACACGGGTAAGTAGGAAAGACTGCTGAGGAAACTTCTGTGAGGCTCTGTGGGCATTACTGGCACCATGCAGCCTGTGCACTGGGAAAATACCGAGGCCTACCTGTGTTTACAGTAATGACGAAGCCCCCAGATTCTTCTTTCAGTCAGTGTTTCGGAAAATCATTTTCCCCAGGCAAATTAATTAAAGTTACATTTATAAAGAATAATTTGACAGGTTACAAAACTGACTTAATTGACGTGCATATTTTTAAGTGTCTGGTTTGGGTTTATTTGGCAGCCACCCATGGGAAACCGTTACGACCGCTGCAATGCAGAAGTACCCAAACCCAATGAACCCAAGCGTGGTTGGAGTTGACGTACTGGACAGACACATAGATCCTTCTGGAAAGTTGCACAGCCATAGACTTCTCAGCACCGAGTGGGGACTGCCTTCCATTGTCAAGTCTGTAAGTGTGTCTCTCCCGGGGGAATGTGACTGCTGAAGGAAAGTTTTCTAAGCCACATTATAATTTCAAATAGGTGGTGGGAGCCAATTCCGAATGTCATTTTTGCATCCGTTCAAATTGTATTATAATAAACTCGAGCTATGAGTGTATAATGAATTGGAAATATTATTACAGTCTTCATGAAGGCACCTGATAAAACCTTCTGAAGGGAGCCAGCGAACGCTCTGAAATCGAAAGGAGTTGTTTCCTACTTCGGCTGTGGCCAGTAGTGAGATTCCGAGGGAACGGCCCGGTGGCCGTGGTCAGTGGTGGCTCGTGCACCGCGCGAGCAGCTACCCGTGCACTTGGCTCTGGCTGCGTTCGTTCCCAGCTCTGACTCATCTCCCCATTCATTGAAAAGCCAGGTCTGTTCAGGAACGTGCCGGTTGCCTCTGTACAAACACTGCAGTAGGCAGCGAGGACACAGAAGTGAGCAGGATCAGGGCATGGGCTTGGGGGCCCGGCACGGGCCGTGATGCTTGCCGTGCTGTCCTCCATGAGACGGCTGCTGCTCTGTCTGGAGAGTGAAGCCACGGGCCCCTACCCGTGGGCTGCGCCAGGAAAATGCGGACAGAGACTTGCGCTCTCCTTGTTCCCGATGCCACGTTTCCCCAGAGACCCTGCTTTCTGTGTCTCAGGCCCGCTGCTCCGTGGCACACTGGCCGTTCAGTGCCGCCTTGTGTCGCACACGTTCTCAGCGGGCCGGGGTGCTGTCTGGGTCTGGGAGGTCCTGGTGTGTGACATCCCCCCTGCAACTCACGGGGCCCCCTTCCCGACCTTCGTCTGATGCCTCTTGCTCTTTGTGAAGCAGATTTTTGGTTCAAGACATGAACACTTTTTACTTTCAAATAAAATATTGATACACTGGTTAAGGAACCCTCCTCTGATTACTAATTCTCGATGTCTTTCTTAGCTTATCGGTGCAGCAAGAACCAAAACATATGTGCAAGAACATTCTGTAGTTGACCCTGTAGAGAAAACGATGGAGCTTAAATCCACTAACGTAAGTTTTAGCTCTTTGTTTTTATTTTAAACGGTTCGGCTTAAGTCTTTGCCTCTCGTAGTCGACACAGGGGACCGCTCCTCATGGCGCTGCGGGGAGCCGGCGCTGACAAGCAGTGCTGTCTGGGCCTGTGGTTCGCAGCATCGCCTCACGGCTCTGGCGAGCTGCTTGGCATCTCCAGGGTGCTGCTCTGAACGAAATGACTTTGGGATTCTGTGAAGGTCGTTACTGTTGTAATGCTTTTGTCAAAGTTGTTTTTTAATAAAAAGTAAGCAGTGAATAGTGAAATTGAGTTTTATTTACACGGTAATATCAAAGTGGTTTATTTGTTGTTATTTTGTATATTTAGCTAGCAAGACTTTGATTTATGAATTAGTTTGGAAATGCTTTTAACCTTGGGTTTCCACAATGATTTGATATACTTTTTTTTAATTCTATAGATATCCTTTACAAATATGGTTTCAGTAGATGAGAGACTTATATACAAACCACATCCTCAGGATCCAGAAAGGTGAGTAAAAAATGTGTTAACAAACTTATTTTACAGGGTGTCTTAGTTTTTTGTTTTTTTTTTTTTTATCAAATATTTCTCTAGACTGAAAGTGAGATCATTCCGAAACTGTGTGAATTTGTTTTGTTCCAGAACTGTTTTGACTCAAGAAGCCATAATCACCGTGAAAGGGGTCAGTCTCAGTAGTTATCTCGAAGGACTGATGGCAAGTACAATATCTTCAAATGCTAATAAAGTAAGTAAAGCTGCTCTCTGATGGCCGTTTTTCCTGGGTTTCGTTTCTGAAAGAGCTTAGTACTGAATGTGTGTGTGTCCCCAAGCCACTCTCAGCCACAGTGCAGTGAGAGTCCACATAGGCTGTTACTCGCACAGGCTCTGGGGCCCAGCACGCCTGGCTCTACATCCAAGCTCTAACCCTTAACCAGCCTTTCAGCCTTGGGCAGTTAACTTTCTGCGCCTCAGTTTGCCCTCTGTGAAGTGGAGGTTAACGACCCACCTTACAGGCTTAGGCATGGAGAGTGAGGAAGATAACATAGGAAAGTGTGTGGCCCAGGGCCTGGCCCCTGGGAAGTGCTCAGTCGTCGGTGGCCAAGTGTGGTTGTTAAAAGCACTATTCGCAACCTTTTCCATCGGCATGCCCGGCACCGCCAGATCGGTTTTAGACAGACAGCCAGGTAGACGGACAGACGTGTCTGTACTTTACACATAAAAAGAGTCAGGTTTCTCGTATCACCACCCCCAACTGACTTTTGCCCCATTGAGAATACGTGATTTAAACGAAGGAAGTTTAGAGAAAGAGGCGCTTAGTGCTGTTTCCTGACACATTTGATGTACTCATTCAGCGGTCAGAAGATATTCACAGATGCTTTCTCTGTGCCAGGCAAAGTGCTAGGCTAGACGGGATGCCACGGGGAACAAAACAGATGCGGCCCTTGCCCTCGGGGAACTAACAGGAAGGTGACGTTGATCACACAACATGCCATTAGGAAAGGAAAAGTACAGAAAGATGAGAGTGTTTAATGAGCGTTGAGTAAGTGGTGTTTCTGCTGAGTGCTGAGTGAGGGGCGTGCAGGAGGCTTCCGTGCAGAGGAGCTGCACGAGACAGAGGAAGCACGCAACACTTTTTATTTTCCTCAAGAACCTACATAGAGTGCAAGGAGAGAATGGCTTAAGAAGTAGTCAGGGACCAGACGTACCAGGGCCGAGTACAGGCTTTTGGTTTAAAATAAGGGACATAAAAAGAAGAAACGGGTTTGACCTTATCCCCCAAAAGGGGACCACTCTGATCATGAAGTAAGCAAAAACATCACTGTCATTAAAGTGTAGATTCTTTTGAGAACATCTTTCGCATATAAAATAAAAATCAGCTTATAGATCAAGCCAGTTGCTCAAGGCATTTGATATTTGGTAAATAACATCAAGAAGAAAAAGCAAGAACAAAAACAATCCATCCTGCTGAGGTTGGTTATCCTTATAATGCTCCTTGTTACTTCCTGGTGTGCCGTTTATTTGATGCATGCCTTTGCTCTCACTCGGTAACAGTAAACGCATTGGCTTTTTTTAAGGGCCGAGAAGCAATGGAGTGGGTCATACATAAATTAAACGCTGAAATTGAAGAATTGACAGCTTCGGCAAGAGGGAGCATAAGGACACCGATGGCAGCGGCAGCACTTGTGGAGAAATGATGGAAAGTGGCGTGCAACACCCAGTACCCAGGTCTCTACCAGCGGGCAGTATATTTATTTGTTATTTAAAAAAATACAACTATATTTTAGGTAGAATTTTTTTTAATAAGCTGAAGAAAGGCTGTGTGACTTTTGATCAAAACAAAGAGGGAGGTACAGGGCTTCTAAATAAAAGGGATCATCCAAAATAATTGGTGGTGTTTGAGATGACTGATTTTGAGGGTTCTATTATTTGTGAACAATTAACAGTTTTTGCAAAGTACTTGGAAATCGGTGTTAGCGTGTTAAGTCTCTTTAAGGTAGAATTTTAAAGCTTTGCGTGCATTGGAACTCTACCTGGCTTTGGACCAACTCCAGAACAAAGCAGAGCCACCTCTTAAACATACACGATTGCCCTGCTGCAGCAAACTTCAAGAGGGAACTCACTTTAAAAGGAGAATTTGTATAGTTTTGAAAGAGGTTAATTTGTATAAAATAACTTGCTCCGCTGTAAACCACCATTAAAACTCACAGTGTTTTAATTTGGCACCTAAATGACGTTTTCGGAATGAAAATTATCACTAATATATAACACCAACAAAAACTATGATTTTATTGTATTGAGAGCGCTCTCGATTTGCCACAGTTTTGCAACTTCGTGAAGGTATTCCCTTCCTTGCGTTTGTACTTTATGACTTAGTATGCTGTGTCGTGGGCTGGTTAACTGAAAAAATAAAGTCATTACCAGAATTCTGCAGCACTCTAAACTTAAACAGAAGAACAGCTGTTCACATCTTTTAGCATTTCACATTTGCCTAACTTATAAATTGCCATGTGTCAAAATCATGGTTCTGTAATTGCTAAAGCATGATATGTCAGGTTATTTGAATATAATTACTTTTTGAAGTAATTGTGACCACAAAACATCTTTTTTACATGAGGAGCTGTACATCATTTGAAATTACTCAAATGATGCCTTGATCTGAAGCATAAATCCCAGGTACTTAATGTTTTTAATAATAACGTGCCACGTGGGGGTGGGGGCGTGAGGGAGAAGAAGAGTAATAGGGAAGAAAAAAGCATTGACCCCTGAACTAACCACTACCTGAATTGCTTTGCAGCTTTTCTCCATGGAAATCCTCCTTGGGGGTGCCAAAGGGCAGCTGCACTCCGAAAAACAATGGCAGTAAATGCGTTTTGTTTCATGTTCTGTGGCAGTCGGTTATCAACCAGTAAATAATATTTTGATACTTGTTGCATATAGAGTATTTTTGTTAAGAGGTGATTAGCTCTTGCCTTTATTTTACAATACTTTATGTGATAAACTTCTAATCAGATTTCCTATGAAGGAAACCAGATGATACATGTATATAAACCACAGAAACAGTATAACAAATGATTCGAAAATTGTTTTTCAACTTAAAATACTGTTTAGCTTAAGACTTCTTAGGGCATTTGTAAAAGCAAGTTAAAACTCAATGAGGTTTTTGATTATTTTTTTGTAACCATAGTTTCTACTACAATTGAAATAACATTTCAGCTAAACAAAACATTGCTAGATATTGATACTTAATAAAAAGTTGCCTTATATAATTTCTGTAAAGTATACTTGCTCTGAAAGAGGTGTAATGAATGCCCTAATGATAAAGATTTCTAAACAAAGTTTATCCCGTTTGATTTTGTTTTTTACTCTGATCTAATAATATAAAACACTCCCAATTTTATTCCAATGTAATTAACTTGTTTTAAGTAGTTGGTAGTTCCTGGCTTTTACCTGGTACAGTAGCAGTGCCCAGTGAGCAAACGCAGTGACAGCACTCAGCTGGAAGGTCGCTCACATAGACCCTTGGACTATGGAGCGTCTTGTCCTAAATATTAAAAGTGGAAATTATACGAATTAAGAACCTTTCTTGTTAATAAAAACTCCCTTTTAACCATAATGTTTTTGATTACAACTTCTTTAAATGTGAAGAAAAAAGTAGATTTTCCTCATTAAGTATTCACTTAATCGCCACAGGCTGTAAACTGTAAGCTGGCTCTGCGGTGCAAGGACGCGCCTCTGAACCGGACGCAGGGACGAGCGTGTGGGTGTCACTGTGGGTCCCCCGCGCCTCCAGCCCTTGTTCCCACCTTTTTTTATTCCCACACGCCATCCTGCCCTTTGCCCCCGTCCTGGCACATCACGGGTTGCCCTGAAACCCCGGGAAATGTCGGGGTAGTCGCACGTTAGGCCGGGTTCACTTTTTCAGGAAGTCGGGAGCGGAGACCTCAGGTTCTTTGAATGTCGGTGCCCCCGGTGCCCCCGGCACCCCCGACGCCGGCCTCAGACGTGGCTCCGCGTCTCGCGCCCCCGAAGCCACGCGGTCCCGCGTTCCCTCCAGCTCCCCTCCGGCCCGGCCGCC